ATAGATAGATAGATAGATAGATAGATAGATAGATAGATAGATAGATAGATAACAATTTTGATAGAGGCTTCTGAGAACGTGCACTGTAGATTTACTTGATTACATTTATCCTGTTACCTCATTTTGGTCCTGGCATTATTGGTTTCCCATGCTTTATTTTCCTGCCCTGTAGGGTTAAGGTCAATAAATAATATTAAGAATATCTGCACTTTCTAGTCTAATAAACTATGTCTGTTGTAGTTTGATGGTATCCATGTGGTGAGTGGATCTCTTGATACATCAATTCGAGTTTGGGATGTGGAGACGGGGAATTGCATTCACACGTTAACGGGACACCAATCGTTAACAAGTGGAATGGAACTCAAAGACAATATTCTTGTCTCTGGGAATGCAGATTCGACAGTTAAAATCTGGGATATCAAAACAGGACAATGTTTACAAACATTGCAAGGTAAGTATTGGCTACTCAGCTTTAGCTGTGTTCATTAAAAATGGGTTTGTCAGTCAAAAGAAATATGGAGCTTTTATGTCACAAAAAGAGTTAACCTCATACAAAATGAAAATGCTTATTTTGGATAAGTTTATGAGCATTTCCACTCTGACTTGACAGAACGAGGCTACGCTTGAGAAATTGTTTTAAATTGTGTTAATATAAAATTGTTTAATCACGCCTGCATGTACAGTTAACTCTACCTAACCTTAAAGGACAATGTGAAGAAAGATCTTGACTGTATCACGGAAGCAACAGACTCCTTTTGTTTTTTGAGTCATCATTTTTTTTAAATTTTGAATTTGTAGGCTGATTTTAAATTAAAGAGCTACCTTACTGGGGGAAAAAAAAGCACATCTCTGATCTGATAGGAAATTGCTTTGGCCTCAGCTTAGACCTTTTGACCATCTACTTAACTAGGATGGAAGGAATAATAGCACCCAGTAAAATGAAGAAAGAAACATGTGAAAGCCACTAATATTAAATGAGGCATAACAGTGTTAACATTTTATGTCATGATTAACTTTTTATTGGTCTTAGTCCTTAAAATGTGTTGTTTTCGTTTTGTTTTGTTTCAGTGAGGCCATCTGGTGGTCTGTATTCTAGCTTTTTACCTATTAGTATTATCTGTTCCTCAGAGTTTTGGAATTGTGTCCATTCAGCCTTCGCCTTTGAGTGGTCAGGTCAAAGTGGTAGGGTAGTAGGTCTCATGCCCATTTGTCCATCAGCAGCATACATAGAATACATGAAGGTGGGCTTTCCACATCACCACTAAGAAAGCTCTTATTTGCACAGCCAGAAAACAAAATGTGTGCCTGGTAGCTAACAAAGCTTCCTGGAAAATACAACTCTTGTTTCAGTTTACAAAGAGCTACCAGATTTTCTTACAACGCTGCTGATCCGAAAATACTCACAGTTTCTAAATATGCAGCATTTTAAATATCTCATTTATTGTATGTTCTAATGTAGAAGTGTACAATTACAATGTAACTTACCCATCACCATGATTTGTAACCAGTAATTAAATTCCTTTGGTTTCGTCCAGGTCCTAACAAGCATCAGAGTGCTGTAACCTGTTTACAGTTCAACAAGAACTTTGTAATTACCAGCTCAGATGATGGAACTGTAAAACTATGGGACTTGAAAACGGGTGAATTTATTCGAAACCTAGTCACATTGGAGAGTGGGGGGAGTGGGGGAGTTGTGTGGCGGATCAGAGCCTCAAACACAAAGCTGGTGTGTGCAGTTGGGAGTCGGAATGGGACTGAGGAAACCAAGCTGCTGGTGCTGGACTTTGATGTGGACATGAAGTGAAGAGCAGAAAAGATGAATTTGTCCAAATGTGTAGACGATATACTCCCTACCCTTCTCCGTGAAAAAAAAAAAAAAAAAAAAGAAAAGAAAAAGAAAAAATATCCCTTGTTCTCAGTGGTGCAGGATGTTGGCTTGGGGCAACAGAGCGAAAAGATCTACAGACTAAGAAGGAAAAGAGGAAGACATGACAAACCGTAACTGACAAGAGAGGCGTCCGCTGTCTCATCACATAAAAGGCTTCACTTTTGACTGAGGGCAGCTTTGCAAAATGAGACTTTCTAAATCAAACCAGGTGCAATTATTTCTTTATTTTCTTCTCCAGTGGTCATTGGGCAGCGTTAAGGCTGAAGCTTCGTTACAGATTCTGCTAGCCTGTCCTTTTACCACTGAGACCTAGAAAGGAGCTGCAATAACATCCAAACAAGGACTGGCTGACTTTCTAATTAGAGAGCATCTGCAACAAAAAGTCATTTTTCTGGAGTGGAAAAGCTAAAAAAAAAAAAAAAAATTACTGTGAATTGTTTTTGTACAGTTATCATGAAAAGCTTTTTTTTTTTTTTTTTTTTTTTTGCCAACCATTGCCAATGTCAATCAATCACAGTATTAGCCTCTGTTAATCTATTTACTGTCGCTTCCACATACACTTTTCAATGCATATGTTGCTCAAAGGTGGCAAGTTGTCCTGGGTTCTGTGAGTCCTGAGATGGATTTAATTCTTGATGCTGGTGCTAGAAGTAGGTCTTCAAATATGGGATTGTTGTCCCACCCCTGTACTGTACTCCCAGTGGCCAAACTTATTTATGCTGCTAAATGAAAGAAAGAAAAAAGCAAATTATTTTTTTTTATTTTTTTTCTGCTGTGACGTTTTAGTCCCAGACTGAATTCCAAATTTGCTCTAGTTTGGTTACAGAAAAAAGACTTTTTGCCACTGAAACTTGAACCGTCTGTGCCTCTAAGAGGCTGAGAATGGGAGAGTTTCAGATAATAAAGAGTGAAGTTTGCCTGCAAGTAAAGAATTGAGAGTGTGTGCAAAGCTTATTTTCTTTTATCTGGGCAAAAATTAAAACACATTCCTTGGAACAGAGCTATTGCCGCCTGTTCTGTGGAGAAACTTTTCTTTTTTGAGGGCTGTGGTGAATGGATGAACGTACATAAGAAAACTGACAAAATATTTTAAGAATATATAAAACAAAATAAAGTTGCTGGTCAGTCTTAGTGTTTTACAGTATTTGGGAAAACAACTGTTACAGTTTTATTGCTCTGAGAAACTGACAAAGCAGAAACTATTCAGTTTTTGTAGTAAAGGCGTCACACGCAAACAAACGAAATGAATGGAAAAGTCAAATGGTTTGCCTCATTCTCCAAGAGCCACAACTCAAGCTGAACTGTGAAAGTGGTTTAACACTGTATCCTAGGTGATCTTTTTTTCCTCCTCCTGTTTATTTTTTTTTTGTTTTATTTATAGTCTGATTTAAAACAATCAGATTCAACTTGGTTAATTTTAGTTATGTAACAACCTGACATGATGGAGGAAAACAACCTTTAAAGGGATTGTGTCTATGGTTTGATTCACTTAGAAATTTTATTTTCTTATAACTTAAGTGCAATAAAATGTGTTTTTTCATGTTAGTATGCCTGTTTCTTCCACTGAAGTAAATAATGCTTCATTATAAATATTTAGGGTTTGTCTCTAATATTTAAGATATCCAAGTCTTAGTTTCTTTGTATTCCCTGTAATGTGATACAGAGATCTGCACTTCCAGGTCTGTGTGATACAGCTAAAGTAAGAATCATGTGCCACAAAAGAAAATTTTGTTTATCACATTAGATTATAAAGGAGGACACTCCACTGTGCCTGTCTATCTCTGTGTGACATTGAATGTATAAATATGAAATCAGGGTCCCTCAAGCGGTTTCAGAACTTTGGTGATAGTTACAACTAGAGTTCCTTTAAAAAAAAAAAAAAAAGTTCATCTTTATTAAAATTTGACCTCCTGTTGAATACTTACCAGGAACTTGCTGTGAAAATCTCTGAAGCTCCCACCCTCCCTGAGAAGTAGGTACTGTTAGCTCCGTTTTAAAGGTGAGGGCAGAACTGGCTCAGACTGTGGAGGTAATTTGTCAGAAGCCAGATAACTAGCAGAGCAGAGGGCCTGCGTTCACAGCCCTGCTCTTTGAGAAGAAAGAAACCTAGGCACGCCTGGGTGGCTCAGTCGATCAGCTTAGGCTCAATCATGATCTCATGGTTCGTGAGTTCAAGCCCCGCGTCAGGCTCTGTGCTGACAGCTCAGAGCTTGGAGCCTGCTTCAGATTCTGTTTCCCTCTCTCTCTGCCCCTCCCCTGCTTGTGCTCTCTCTCTCCAAAATAAAGATCTAAAAAAAAAAAAAACAAAAAAAGAAGAAAGAAACCTAGAATTTTGACAGACTAAAGCAGGGTTTTGGAAAAAGTAAGTCATTTTTGTGGTACTTTCAGGCTCTTCTGTTGCTGGTTTAGTCAACAAATCTAATATTTTATTAATGTTCGTGAAAAAAACGAAGTTCAGTTATTCAAATTATGTAGCCACTCAAATAGCATGTTCTGTCTCCTACTCACCCCTCCTATATATTTAACATTTTATTTAATCCCTACATTTAATCCCCAGGCCATAGATGAAAATCTAAAACTTAAAACGAATGCTGCCTAGAGAATACATTTCTCACAATCATAAAGTGTGTGTTCTTTACTCATAGAGCAGCAACTCTTGAGCCTCAGGCTCCCAGAGGTACTAAATCTGAACATCCAGAGTGGGGTCCAAGAATCTGCATTTAAACTAGCTCTCCAGGTGAGTCATGTTCACAATTTAGAACCACTGTCTTAGATCCCTACTGTTGCTCACTTGGTTAATTGATCCCCAGCACATTATAGGCACAGGACCATCAGGGAGAAGTGGTGGGTTAAATGGAAAGACAGAAAAACCACATGGCTAAACACAGGCAAAAATCGTATTAGGTTTTGAGTGCAGGGGCCAGCAGCCTTGCCTGCACTAGGATAAATCAGCGCGTAACCCAGAGCCATCACTGCTGTTGACATTGACAACCCTGAATGATCAAGAAGTCGTAATTCTGTTTGGTGATCTTGAAACTGTTTGATTTATCATAATGCAAGTGTGGTTTAACTGTAACATAATTAAAGAAAAACATCATGTACATTATAGGGGCGCCTGGGTGGCTCAGTCAGTTAAGCGTCCCACTTTGGCTCAGGTCACGATCTCGTGGTTTGTGAGTTCGAGCCGCACGTCAAGCTCTGCTGGCAGCTCAGAGCCTGGAGCCTGTTTCAGATTCTGTGTCTCATTCTCTCTCTGCCCCTCCCCCACTCGCTCTCTCAAAAATAAATAAAGGTACATTATAGAATAGAATTGAGTTCACAGGATTTGCAGACAACTAGGTCAGAATTCAAGTCCCAATTTTATAATACTATGTAGTTTCAGGAATTTCATTAGATTTCTTGAACTCCTGTTTCCTCATCATTTAGTATGTAGAGAATACCCACCTGCTAAGGTTATTGTGGGGATTAAGTAAAATGTTTTAAAGCACATAACACTGATGACACTTAACGCTCAATAAATGGTAGCTATTATTAAAACTTGAGGAAAATAGACCCAGATAATTGTAACTTTCTATATTTGGGAACAATTGAATGTTTTGTGACTCATTCAGGTATGTAATAAAAATAGCATTTCTCTATATATAGCAATTTATGTTTTTTTAAGTGGAGTCCCATAGATTTCTCATTTGAGTCTTACAGAAACCTTTGTGAGGTAGATTGGTATGGGGCACCTAACAGTGATTTTGTACACACTTAGGTGTTCACTAAGTATTATTTTATGACTAACTTAATAATCTTTCTTGCAATGGATCTGTTCCTGAAAGGGGATATGTTAACCTGACGCTAAAGGAATTAAATTATTGTTGGTGTAGTAGGAAAGGTCATGAAAGGAACTCTGCTTTGTGGCCTCCTCAGTGAAGAAGTTCACCACCTTATATAACGGAATTTTTACATCTTCACACCAGAATACAGTCAGTCCCCACATTAGGTGTTACAAGTTCTCAAAGATCAAACATTGCCTGGAACTAATGCTAAAATTAAGACACAGAAGTAACCCTTAAAAGGCCCATAGCAAGTACTCAGTAAATAATTGTTGAACTGGGCAAAGGGAGTTTACTGTCTTTTTTTATTATTGGAATTTTACTATTTATAATTTATTATTATTTATAATTTTGGTATTTTGAAACTCCCTTATTGAGATTCAGTAACCACAGCTATTTCATTAATTTGAGACAGCCAATGTGTACCGAATGGTTCAGTAAATGTTCCAGCCTACCTATTCGTTTTATTTCAAAAAGTAATTTACATGTAATTGTTGGTATTAACTGGTTTTTTTTTTTTTTGGTATTAACTGTTTTTAAGCCGCTTTCTCTATGACTTTTGAGCTAGTCTATTATAAAGTCTCCTTTCTATTTATCTGAATTGATTAGAAGCTACAATCAAACAAAAAAAGAGGACTTTTTCTTTTCCCTGAGTGAAACAGGAAATCAAGGGCAGCTTCCCCAGACCCAGTCTGTGCCTTGCTTTCTATCCACTCCTCCCTGACACTCACTGCACTTTGTGAAACAAATACACAGAGGTGTCTGCTCAGACTCCTGGAAAGAGACTGCCGACTCCTTCCTGGCTGCTGTAACTCCTCCCATTCTAGGCAACCAGGTTTCAGCAAGTGTGCCTGGCAGGAGTGGGTTCACATTACATTCTTTCCTGAATCCTTCTTTCAGACACAACTTGATTAATTTTCCCTCTGTGAACCATCCTCCACCCCCCAATAAGAATCGGTTAGGATTCTAACCTATACTCCATCAGACTCATCAGCCACTAAAAGATTCAGTCTTGTGCCGGACAGCAGCTCTGTGAGAAACTCCTGTTGTCTGGCCGTTCTACTGAGAGTCAAGGGTTTAGTGTTGCTGACAGATTAATTTGAATAAATGCTTCTGACACAGGTTGTTTTATAATCCCTGCCTTACTGCATTTTGAGGATCACACACACACACACACACACACACACACACACACACACACCCATACAAGAATATATTGATTGGAACCTCGGAAGAAGCCTCTTGTTCTCAGTCATAATAACATCATTTCCCATAAGCCTTTTCCCTCTTCATCCGTGAAAAAAATAGGAATGGCCCATGTGAAGGGAAGGTGTTGCTAGTCAAGAAGAGAGTTCCTAAGTCTTTTCCAGGATAGATCAGTGGCCTCTGTGGGTGAAGAGGATGTGTGTGTTCACATAATGTTCCTGGAACCCTGCCGGAAGCAACCATATGGTAATTTGAAAAGTTGATGCCTAATTTTTGATGTTGGCATTTTCTACTGCCCAGGAGATGGATTTTAAGTTAGATTCAAGGTGGCTGCCCCCAGCTCCCTTTTACTGGGAGTGCCTAATCATTGATTTGAATTACAAACAAAAATTACATGGCATCATTCACTAGCCAATGGATTTCATTATCCATTTGGTTAATACTAGTGATGCCCAAATGAGTGAGGTTCTCTCCAGCTTCATCCTTCTGCCACCTTCTCTTTCTAGGTGGAAGAGACCAAAAATATCAAAAGGTAATTTCAAGGGTTCTTCAGGGAAAAGGAAAGCACCAAAAACTGAAAGGACTCAGAATGCACCTTTCCCCAAAGTGTAAAGTATAAACAAATTCTAGATCCAGTTCCTAGGAAGACTCATTGCTGAGACGAAAGCCTGGCAACGCCCCAATTTGCAATTGAGTATAAAAATAGCAGGGTTTCTATTTCAGATAATCTGATGCTCCCCAGGATTTTTAAGGACAAGTAACCTCAGAGTGGACATTTTGACATTTCATCCTTTGCTTTGAAAAATCTATCGTGGCAAAACCTAAGAAGGCTGTTTATCCTTGGGTTTGGGTTTGCGTTAGCAGTCATGCTCTGCAAAAGAAAAATTATGTTGAAATCGCACTTGCTGTATCAAAGGTTCAAATATAATAGACCACAAAAATATATTGCCAATTTGCTCTTTTTCTAGGAGGTTCATAGATCATAAAATAGACATCAAACCACTACTCACCATAAGAGGAAGGTTATTTGCAAGACTTTTTTTTTTAATTTTTTTTTTTAACGTTTATTTATTTTTGAGACAGAGAGCATGAACGGGGGAGGGTCAGAGAGAGGGAGACACAGAATCGGAAACAGGCTCCAGGCTCCGAGCTGTCAGCATAGAGCCCGACGCGGGGCTCGTACTCACAGACCGTGAGATCGTGACCTGAGCCGAAGTCGGCCGCTCAACCGACTGAGCCACCCAGGCGCCCCTGCAAGACTTTTTAAACTTATATTGATGACGCCCATTAAGACTTTACCACACCCTTATGCCTTGCTAAATGCAATCAGAAAGACCGTATAGTCCCCTGCTACCACAAGCCTTTCAGTCTGAGGATGCTTTCTGTTCCTCTAAAGTGAGTTTGAGTAGCTTAAATAAATCCAGCAGGGACACGGTAAAGTATAGAGGTTAAAAGTAAAACCGCATGCACTTCTGGTAAGAGATCTGGGTTTGGGAGGCCTGGCGCTTATAAACCTAA